ACACACACACACACACACACACACACACACACACACACACACACACACGTACACAAAGTCTGCAGCAAATGCATTCTCTCTGAAGATACACACACACCATTTTCCTGTCTGTCTTTCTGTCCCTCACACATGTTTGAATAATGTAAACATACACATGCAGGCTCAGTCTGAAGACATGCACACACTCACGCAATCAACACACCACACACACACACACACACACACACACACACACACACACACACACACACACACACACACACACACACACACACACACACACACACACACACACACACACACACACACACACACACACAGCCTCGGTTCTCACTCTCTCACACACTCTCGCTCCCTCCCCTTTGCTTTTCGTCACAACATACTCTCTCTGTCTTTCTCTTAAACAGACACACAGTTTTTTGGCCCACAAATCTGTCACTCAAACCACTTATTTTCAAACAACATCAAAAATTACTCACTTATAACATGTATATAATGCTATTTGGATTAATGCTACTCTACCACACCTAACCAACTGTCCATCACTTCAGATCTCGTTGATATCTCAGCTCTCCAAGAGAGCAATGAGATTAAATGGAGAATATATTCAAGTCTCCTGCTTCTCAGATGTTCACCTGAGAAAAAAAACCCCAATAAGCATCTCAATCTATAGTTTCAAACGAGATCTCAACAAGAGCATTTACATGCACTTTTAAAAGCTTGAAGCTATAATCATTTTCTATTTTTATGTTTTAACTATAAACACTTTAGCCAAAGGAAATCGTACCAGTTTTTGTGAAATCAGAGTGTGATTGTAGTTTGGCTTTGTTCAACATGTATACGCGTTAAAGGGATAGTTCAACTAAAAATGTCAATTCTGTTAAAATTTCATGTCAGTTATAACCCGTATGACTTTCTTTTTTCTGCGGAGCACAAAATAAGATATTTTCAAGAATGCTGGGGTCAACACAACATTGGACCTCAATGACTTTCATTGCATGGGGAAAAAAAAACTATTTAATTTGAAAAAATTTTGGGGTTCCACTGAAAAAAGTAAAAGTCATACAGATTTGAATCGACATGAGGATGAGTAAAAACTGAATTTTCATGTTGCGTGCTTTGTTCTTGTGCTCCAAAAGACAGAAGTGGCATGCAACAAAAGCAAGGTATTCTACCAGTTTGTATTAGATTTATTGTATCTTGTATACTTGTACAAACAGATTAAGGGTTTATTCACACAGAACATGTTTTTGCATTCCACATTCCTGCTTTTCCATTGTTTTTCTAGTAAACGTGCTAGATGGACGACTTTGACCAGTACGCTACGCCGCATCTTCCACAGCATCTCACATATAACACGGTGTTCTAAAAATGCAGCAAAGTTAAAATAATTCAATTTTTTTTTTAAATGCATCACCGCACTTTAGTTTTTTGCAAAACACAAAAACCAGCCCCAAGACTGTCACTCGACTTCACAAAAACCTGCAGTACCTCCCTCATAACTGCACATATAAACAGACTTGAAGTCTGCAATGAAATTATCAATATGATTTTTAAACATTTTTCGTGAAATTCTTGAAGTTCAGACAATCAGATCTGAGCTATCTACATTAATTTTGCTGTATTTCAACAATTGTCTTGTAAGTTTTCATTTGTCCATTTTTATTTATCTTTTGGATTATTAGAGACATATTAAGTTAATATATTGATTAAACATAAATCTATTAAGTCTCCTAAACTATGAAAAGAGCAACCTCTGAGCAATAAAAAATTTCTCTGAATCAGCTCAGAGTTAATTGAAAACCCCTCCGTTCAGGGTTTTCTTTCAAACAGCTTCAGTGAAGCTGTCTCACTCTCTTTCAATAGATATATACAGGCTTCACACACAATGTGCATTTTAAAAACTCTCCGTTTCTATCTGCCTTCTGTCTCTCTCTATGAATATATGTATTCCTCGCTCTCTCACAAACACACACACTACCTGTTCATCCAGCTCTCCCTTCCAAACACAATCAACACACACACACACACACACATACACACACACACACAAACACACACACACACACACACATACACACACACACACAAACACACACACACACACACACATACACACACACACACAAACACACACACACACACACACATACACACACACACACAAACACACACACACACACACACATACACACACACACACAAACACACACACACACACACACATACACACACACACACAAACACACACACACACACACACATACACACACACACACAAACACACACACACACACACACATACACACACACACACAAACACACACACACACACACACATACACACACACACACAAACACACACACACACACACACATACACACACACACACAAACACACACACACACACACACATACACACACACACACAAACACACACACACACACACACATACACACACACACACAAACACACACACACACACACACATACACACACACACACAAACACACACACACACACACACATACACACACACACACAAACACACACACACACACACACATACACACACACACACAAACACACACACACACACACACATACACACACACACACAAACACACACACACACACACACATACACACACACACACAAACACACACACACACACACACATACACACACACACACAAACACACACACACACACACACATACACACACACACACAAACACACACACACACACACACATACACACACACACACAAACACACACACACACACACACATACACACACACACACAAACACACACACACACACACACATACACACACACACACAAACACACACACACACACACACATACACACACACACACAAACACACACACACACACACACATACACACACACACACAAACACACACACACACACACACATACACACACACACACAAACACACACACACACACACACATACACACACACACACAAACACACACACACACACACACACACACCCTCACTGACACAGACACACACGCAATCACACTCACACTCTCCCTGTGACACACACGCAATCACACACACTCACACAAACGCACACACAATCACCCACTCACACTCTCTATCTCACACACAAACACTCGCTCTCTCACACGCCAATTGTTTATTTGGAGTTAACAGTGATTAAAAACCTACATTATGCATTATTTTAAAACTGAAAATAAATCAGACTAGTAGTCACTGTCGTTTAAATGACACACACACCTGATTCCAGTCACAACAGAGAAATAACGTTATTTATAAATAACAACTTACCTTCATAACTGAATAAATAAAACATTTCTTTAGCTTTGATTACAAAATTGTTTACCTACAACTATTTTAAAAACTTTAGACATTACGATAATTTTGTCGTAACAGAAAAGTGATATTATTTCTGTCAGACGTTTCTGAGCTTTAAAGTCAGTGTCATCTCTGAAAATGTTACTTTTTTCTCGCGTCTGTTCACTCCCTCACCCTCGCGTCTGCGGCGGCTTGCTGCTCTCTCCGTTGCTGTCCAGCTGCGGCGGCTCCCGGTAGTCGATGAGCGAGCGAACGGTCTCCGCCATTCCCGCCGATGAGCGTTGTCCTCTCGTGCTGCGCTCGCGCTCTCCCTCTCTATGTACAGGTTCTTACGGACAATACCATTCACTCAGACTCTAGGGGAGGACAATCGGTGCGCTTGAAATGCAGCACTTGTAAATACTTCGATGGACATTTTTGTTTGAAACTCACCTGCCTTATAACACTTCATTTTGATTTTGTTGCCAGTGTAAAATCATTGAAACTATGAAAAAACAGAAACCTTAACTCCCCCATATTAAAGAAATGGTTGCGTTCTTTAGTATAGGTTGGGTGCTGGGGTGGTATTTCTGTTTCTAAGCGAAGTTGATTGTACTCATCAGATAATATTGACAAGTCTATCGCTGTCTGCTTTATATGTTACGGCTGAATAAATATTTCACCTTTAATTCATGACTAACTTTGATCAAAAAACAACAAAATTGCTCTATACGTTGTTTTTTTTATGTTAACGTTGATACAGTAGTGTTCTCTACTGCTGCCTCCGAGTAGTTAGCCGCAGTTATAAGCTCGATGTTTATAAATAAGGGCTATGCAATGAAGAAAAATATCACATTTTCATAATACAATGTATTTATATACTCTTAAAAAAATAGAACTGATATGAGCTATATGATCCGCTCCTAAAATATTTTCAAATTATGTATTCTCATTGAGACTATTCTGGATTTCTCTATCACACCACAAACCTCTGACGCACACATCTAAACACACCCTCCCCCCACTCTCATCCCGCACACACACACACACAGGAGCGCGCACCATCACAGACTCACTCACTCACTCTCTCTCTCTCTCTCTCTCTCACACACACACACATCATCACATGTGGTTGTCTGCAGGGTTTGCGTCTGGGTGACTCCGCCTCGGCTCCCGTGTTTCCCAGCATGCGCCAGGCTGATGTGGTGAACGTGGAGTCGGGGTGGAGACACACACACACACACACACACACACAGGCGCGCACACCACCACAGACTCACTCACTCACTCTCTCTCTCTCACACACACACACACACACACACACAGACAGACAGGCAGCCTACAAGTGTGCATACAATCTGAGACTACTATGCAAAAACACACTCAGACATACACATTCACGTACATGTAATGGTTAGATAACAAACTTTTAAAATGCACATATAGATATGTAACACTTCTACACATACACAGACATGATTTATAAACTTGTTCTTTCATGGGGACCAAAAATGTCCCCAAAAGGTCAACATTTATTGGTATTACTATCCTTATTTTGTCCCCTCATTCTGTCCCCATAATGTAGGGAATACCAGGACCACACACACACACACACACTTATATGTGGTTTACGGGGAGTCTCCATAGATGTAATGGTTTTTATACTGTACAAACTGTATTTTCTATCCTAGAAAATAACCTAACCCTGCCCCTCACAGAAAACTCCTGGCATTTTTTGAATTTCAAAAAACAGTTTAGTGCATTTTTAAAGCCATTTGGTTAACAAGGACACAGGAAGTGTCCTCATAAACCATATTTACGTTGTAATACCCATGTCATTATACACATTTGTGTATATACCTCATAAACCATGTATTCAAGCACACACACACACTCACACTCTAGATCTCACAAAGGCATGTGTTCACACACACACACACACACACACAATCTGACTCTCACACAGATTCTCCCTCCTACGCAAGCGCACACACACATTTCCCCTTTCTTGCCTCACACACACACACACGCTCGCTCTCTGTTACACACCCCTCCCCCATCTCTCTCACACACACATCCTGCCTCGTGCGCACACATCACATACACACATTCACATTCTCTCTATTCTCTCTCACTATGTAACTCACTTGCACATGCATATACTCAGACAAATACACACATACAATAACACACACATACACACCCTTCCCCCTTTCACAGGCATCCTGCCTCTCTTCCAATACACACACACACACACACTCAGATCACAAACATACACTCCACCCCCTCTTCCAAACACACATCCTGCTTTTCCTTTATCACAGTTGTCCACACATATACACACACACATACAAAAAGTCATCAAACTGTAAGTTATTGACAGAAACCTGTTTGAATGACAGCTCAGATATTGTCATTTATTGCAGTGCAAGTTTAAAATGCATATATTAATAATAAATTATTATATGTTAAGAGTTTTTCTTTCTTCACCAATTCCAGTCTCTTCATACAGTAACCAGGTGCTGAATCATTAATGCTCTTCCACCAGAGTTCCTCCATACAGTACGTCACATAAATCAAAGACCGACCCAGGCTTGCTAAGATACGGATTTTGAGTAGATACTGAACATGCTAAAATCAGTGTAAAGGCACAATGACTTCAATTATCATGAAATAGGCCTTGTCTGGACCCTTTTCTTTCAGAGTCACAGAGACTGTGACAAGTTGACCTGGAATAAAAAGCAGAACTTTATGTAGCCAGCAGAGGGCATGAGTGTTTGATAAGTGTGGATGGGGGAATTAATCCAAACAAACATCAACAGATGGTACACTTAATAACTGCCCACTGCATATGCAACAGGAATGACAAGCATTTGAATAATAAATGTGAAGAAGCAGCCTTTTAAAGTTGTGCATCACTGTTTGTACAGTAGATTGTTCTAGATATTTGAAACAGTAGATTATCATTTTGAGGAGAAATTTCCAGGGATAGTCCACCAAAAATGAATATTCCTTCATCATTTACTCGCTCGCATTTACTCATGTCCTTCCAAATCTGTATAAAGAAGAAGATATTTCAAAGAACATAGGGGTCCAAAAAACAGAAAAAAGAAAGAAAGAAATAATAAAAGAAAAAGAGATAGATATTTTGGTAACACTTTACAGTAAAGTCTTATTTGTTAATATTAGTTAATGCATAAGCTCATGTAAACTAACAATGAGCAATATATTTTTTACAGCATTATTAACTTTTGATGTTAGGTAATCAAAAATAAGAATTGTTTATTGTTCATGTTAGTTAACAGTGTATTAAGTAATGTTAACTGATACAACTTTTGATTAAAAACATGTTTGTATGTTGAAATCAAGATTAGCTAGTATTAATAAATGCTGGGGAAGTTCAGTTAACTAATGTTAACGAATGAAATCTTATTGTAAAGTGCTACCAACATTTTTATATTTTCTTTTACATTCCACAAAGGATAGTGCAGGTTTAATAATACAGATTCAGAATGACATGAGGGTGTGTAAATTAATGACAGAATGCTAATTTTTGTGTGAACTATCCCTTATAGATACAAATAAATGCATACAGTAATATTGATACGCAAACAAAAGTATAATATATTAACTCACTTTGATCATCATGGTCAATTTAAAAAAAAGGGTCTGCAGTGTCTTCTATGACTCAACGATCTAAAGGTCAACAATCTCGAAAGGTAATAAAACCATACAGTACATTTACATTCATTGCTACAGTCTAAAATCTAATTTTAATGACCAAGAAATATATTAAAATAACTTTCATAAAATAATAGCTTGTCCAAACCCTCCCCTCCTGCTTTCCCCATGCTGGAATGCTGAATTCCAGTGACTGCATCCAGATCCTCTGACTCTCTACATTCTCCATGCTGTACTGAAATTCCTTCTCCTCATTCTTATCATACTGACCTCTTCCTCTCCACCCTTTCATTCTCTTTTTTTCATCACATATCCAGTCTCACTTCCTCATTTTCCCGGCGCCTCTTCTTGTCCTTCGGGACATTGTCTTTGGTGCTTTCTCCATCTCTGCTGGCATTGAGCGGAGGGTGTCAGATGTTTGGCCTGTCCAGTGCACGAGGTCCTGCAGCACTCGTACAATCCACATCTTCAGACCAAAACTCCCACTGGCCGCTTGACCATCCAGCTCCTTTCACACAAGCACAGACAGATTGTTTTTATCAGAACAGCATCACATTTATGAGAAAACAGAGCAGCAATATATTGAAATGGCTGGCTAAACATCACTTCTGCACCTCTTTAACTTTAGCTTCAAATTTTTGGCCATCCACTAGCAGCTGCTCTGTGCTTGCCAACAGGTGCCCCAGACGATCCCTCACAGTTTTCAGTTTTCTCTTGTACTCGCTGTCTTCGTCGGAAAATTCTGCATCCTCCCGGGTAATGACATCTTCCAGAAGTCGCAGACACTCCTTGAGCGCAGCATGCAGGATAGATATTTTTTCTGCATCTGACAGCTGAGGAACCAGTGGAGGAATGGACACTAAATAACCTCCGTCAACCGGTGAGGACGGCAGTGATTCACTGTTTCTCTAAACCGGGGGAATGAGTGGGGGAGGTTACAAGAAATGATGACGGAATTGATAAACAAACATGTGGTGAACATATGAATAAAAGCAGCAATTAAAAAAGAATAAAAGATAGAGCCAAACTTACTCGTATAAACTTGTACAGTCAACACACCATTTCCAAAGTTCTCCTGAACGTTGTATTTATTTAATTATTGTTTATTTAACAGGGACAATACAGAATAACATTATTGCACAGTATTGAGCAGCTGATGTTTGAGGGCGAACTTGGGTAAACTAGGAAACTTTTTGCAATTGAGATGACTGGGTGAGGCTAGAAATACAACAAGCAATAAACAATCTACAACTTAACACACACACACACACACACACGTAGTACACAGAGAGAGAGAGAGATAATGATCACAATTTATAGTTTAAGCCAGTTTTTATCTATTTAAAACTCCCAAAAAGTTGCATATTCCTTTGAAAGGATATGAAATGAAAAACACATTACAAATATTTTAGCCTTGTATAATTTTCCTCTCACCTTCAGCCAGAGCTTTTCTCTCAACTTTAGGCTGATGCTCATAGAAGCATGTTGTTGGCATTTTATTAAGTCACTAATTAATAATGTAGCACCCTCTGAAGCTGTCCTCTCTGATCAGCTCGTGCTGTACTTAGGCTGAATAGGAATCAAATGTTGCTCACCTATTTCTAAAGTTCAAAGACTCTCCTACATTCCAAACCGCTCCCAAGTTTCAGGCTACTTTTCCACCGAAACAAGCCTAAACTCAGAATTGTTTCAACGTTCAGGGAAAACATGAGAGAAGGCGGTGGACCTGAACGATCTGGCAGGTATCCAAAAATGTGTTTTTTTTTTTTTTTATGGGACAATCACGCTTTATAATCCAGCAGCACTTTCCATCCGCTGCGCGCGCCAAGTCTGGATACCCCGCAGCCGCACAGACAACGCTGTCACTTCTGACACAATTCATTTGCTGCTTCCCCCAGACACTCCTTCAACTAAATGTCATGATGCCGATGACTTCAGTTTGGGTCGCACACCATGCAGGCCATAATTAAGAAAGGCTCGACGGTTAAATATAATAATTAGATTAGTTCTGTATAAATAAGACTTACGTATAACTCCAGGAGTTGGATGCATTCCTTATGAAGCAGCCGGGCTAAAGCTGCGGTTCTCCCTGCGTGGCCCCGCAACCCATGACGACCGTTTGCACTTCTGCCAGCCATTTATACTCCAAAACACCTACTCTTTGAAAAATAACGTGTGAATCAACAGCAGGAATAAATCAGCATATATTCTTGCTTTTATAGGACCCCCTTATACTACCGTAGGCTGTATAGATGTAAAATGGTGATGATCCTCAGTCGCTGTTTCTCAGTAGCGGTTATTTCACTTTCGCCAAAATACCTCTCATGACTTACAGCACGACTTCCAAAATGCTGTTCTCCCGTTTTAATGTAGTTCTGAATTAGCCGTGACTCCGCCTCTTTATGGGAACGTGGTGCGTTAGAGGGGCTGGGAAAGTCAAGACGGAATTTCATTGGCTCAGAGTTCACCTCATAGACCCACCGCTTAATACCAATGCAAACTGGAAAATATACATAAATAAAAAGAATACGTTTGCTTTTAAAGCCTGGAAGGAAATGAAGATTTCTTTTATTCTCGCCTCTGGAATTTCCTATGGGTTTTTAGAATGACGGTTTTTGGTTTATGAGTAAAATCTGTGGTTTAAATTACGTTTTGTTTTATAAGTTGCATAGAATCATAACTGAAATGTGAATTTTGAACATCTACATATCACGATATATAACCAGCCTACTGTAAATTACGTCTTCAGTGATAATAGCTCATTTTATTTTAAGTTTTCATCTGTTCTAGATAAAAGGATGTTGTTTGGACCAGAAGCAGAGTAGGCTACAAGTTTGAGATTGAGGCAGATCTAATAAGAATATAATATATGTATACATATTAAATTTCCATATATTAAATATATTGTCATATGAAGTAAAACATAAAACCTATTTCATATATTAACATATAGGCTTATATCTAGCCCAAATAGGTATGAGTAATGTATGAGTAATATGTGGATATATATGTTATGTACATGTATATCCATCCAAAAAGGCATGTTGATATTTTATAAGTAAATATAAAAGACATGTATTTAAGAATGTATTACAATAACATATATAAGCATAAAGATTTTTTGTGTTTTTGTTGTTTTAATAAAGTTGCATATTACAAATCATCATATATACTATTAACATATGAACATATACAATTTTTACTATTGAATTTTAAATAGTCATAAATGTATATCTTCAAGAATGTACATATGTGAAAATTATATATGGTCGTATAGGTAGGCCTATACTACTCTTGATGTAGTGTAATATATGTCATATACATTTCCATACGGGTTTAAACAAATCAAAGAACTCTGAATCTAGAATGATTAGGATGACATGTTAATGACACTGTTTTTGTAAAAGCTGATTTAGAATTCACTTAAAGCAAAGGGATTACTTGTTTTATGTTGTTGCAAGTTGCTTAAATTATTTAATGCATGTCAAGAAATTCCTTAATGTCTTTAGATTTGAATACAGAAATGTTGCACTCTAATAAGCAGCAGAAAACATGATTAAATTAGCCAAAATTTGTAAGTTCTGTTTGTGAATGGCCATTTGAATTCTGCAGAAATCTGCTGTGCTTTTTGCCAAATTCTGTGGTCAGGCGGTCCAGGTGTTACCTAATCAGATAAGCAAGATGTCTAAGTGAAATAACAAGGAAGGGTGGTATAAATGGGTGGTATTCCACTTTTCTATTTTTTTCTAAGCTTATCAGTGCCCACACCTTCCCTTTTTACAATAGGGAGGCAGGAAAGTGTTGTAACCTGTCACTCAGATATTTATTCGAGACATTTATTGTGTCTCAAACTGTGATACAGTAGGCCCATATTTGTCTAGAAGTGGAAATGCTTAGGAATACACAACATTTCCCTAAATTGCGTGAAGTGTCAAAAGTGATGTTGTTAAAACCTATATTTCACTATACTCACATATGTAATCCCTGCCTATATGTGACATATTTAACTTAAATGTGCCTTCTTATTGTCAGTGGATGTATATCAAGTGATGTGAAACATTTCTTTGCATTTTGTGGTTTCACTAGAAGCTGTGGAAAAGTGACAGGACAGAACATGACTCTGTTTGCAGACTGTGCATGAGAGAAGATATAGCCTACACTGTTGCCATATTCCTTCCGCTACTGATAACAGCTGCTACACTCATCTTAAACATTAAAAATAAATTCCAGTGCCGAATCGCTATTCATCGTATCACTTGTTAACAAAATTGTTAACAGCGCCACTGTAAATGATGCATGTCTCTTGGTGTATTAGGCCTGTTTGAAAAGACTTCTGTGTTATTTTAGTATTATTTAGCCTATATAATATTTATTGCAATGTATATTAATACTTTAAATATTTTAGTCTTATATTATTTGTAATTAAAGTTGAATTCACATGTTACTTTATTTTAATTTTAGAATATGTTTGAGTAATTTTGTTTTTTTTTTGTGCTTTTGTCATTTTGATATATATTTTTTTATCTTATTTGTTTTTAGTTTACATTTAGTATTAGTAGCCTAATTTTAAAACTTCAAATTATTTGTTTAATTTAGTTGCCAAAAGTAACATTTCTAATTATCAGTATTATTTAGCATGTTATGTTTAAGTATTTGATCTAATATTTCCATTTTATTTTTATTATTGGTTAAGTTTATATCATTGTCGCAATACCACTCCGCGCCTCGCGGTGGCACTTTCATTTACTTTTATTTCCACGATCACAAATCTGTTTGGGGACCAAGAAGAAAACCTGACTTCCGGATAAACAAACGATTAAATGACAATTGAATCTCGATATCCAGTCATACTGATACGTTTTTCAAAGAATTTGGATCACAGTTCTCAATAACTTGTATATAAGTCGATATGAATTCGCTTGTGGGATACGGGGTTTCATCCGAGTCAGAGGATGAAGAGAAAGGAGAAGACAATACGAAGGAGTAAGTAATTAATAATGAAATAAACAAATACATTATTTATAATATCCGTTTTCAATCAGTATAGGAGTTTTTAATTTGAGAGAGCCAAGTGTGTATATATATATATATATATATATATATATATGTGTGTGTATGTATGTGTATGTGTATTATATGTGTATGTATGTATATATATATACAGTGGGTACGGAAAGTATTCAGACCCCCTTAAATAAATAAAGTGTAAAGAGTAGTTTCCACGGTCGTAATCTTACATCTTATAAGGATAGCTCATTCAAAAATAAAAAATTGTCATCATTTACTCACTATCGTGTAATTACAAACCAACATGAATTCTTCAGTGGAACAAAATTATCTATATATATATAAAACAATAATAATTTATTTTGAACTGAGTAAGAGTGAATGGGGACTGGGGCTGTTAAGCTCCACAAAGGACAAAAAGCATCATAAAAGTAGTCCACACGACGTGTGGACTGTATTCCAAGTCTTCTGAAGCCAAATATTAGCTTTTTGTAAGGAAATATAAGTCCTGTAATTTAATATTGTAAATTCAAATCTTGTTTGAGAGCGATGGTCGCCATTCACTTTCATTATGTGGTAAAGAACTAATTATTCTACAATAACTCATTTTGTGATTTAAAAGTATATTGTTTAACTTGCAGATAATGTAAAAATAAAATTAAAAAGCCACTTGGAGTGCACTTTTTTAACGACTGCTTCTTAACACATTTTTTGAAAGTGCACTTTGTAATAATGTTTTAACTTTTTAACTTACATTTTAAATTGTTTTGCTTTACAGATTATTTTGATGTGTTCACATACTAAAGCACATGAAAATGCTTGATTCAAATTTTAACTGTAGTGTGTTATGCGATATTACATTTAAAGTTAATACATTTAAAATTAAATAATTACAAATGTGTAAATACATGACACAAATTTCAATAGAAATAATGAAAACATATTTTAGTTTAGAATATATGCTTGTAAGTACGCTTTAACTGTATTTCAAAGAAGAATAGAAGTGATTATGAAATTACATATAAAGATGTTCTTAAGTTCTACTTTAGTGGATCAAAAAAGCACTCTTAATTTCAACTAATTGCATTTAATATAGATTTAAACTAAAATATGTTTTAATTTTATTGCAATTAAGTGCTTAAAACATTACATTCAGTTCGCACTTAAGTACATTCTTTTAAAGTGTATTATTTCACTTTAAAAAGTAAGGTATGAGAAACTGTGCTTCTTTTTCACAAGGGTGATAAGGGTGTTGTGCGTGTGTGTAAACTAAGAAAGAATATAATAAAAGTTAGAAAAAAGTTTGACAGCAGTGGTCACCATTCACTTTCATGAATAAATGATTACATGATAAAACAAAAAGGTCAGTTATTCCTTTAATGAGCTGAGAATGATCAAGTATCACTTCTTTTATGATTTCTGCTTAGGTCCTTCAAGAAGACAGAATGCACTGTAGAGAAGACGAAAAGCCGTAATTTCCTGTTGGAGTCGGAATCGCTTTCCAGTGAGTCTGAATCTGGTCCAGAGAATGAGGATCAAGAGGAGCCGCCCAATGCTGATCGCTCCATTTCCGAGCCCTCGCCACTCCTCTCCGTCCGTCCTCACACTCACAAGCTCCCTCCTCCACCTCTGGGAGGATCCAGCTCGGGTGGAGCGCTTACAGGCAGCAGTGTGTTTGCTAATCCATTCAAAGAGCTGGCTGAGGAGAGACTGAATGTCCTACAGAAACATGTACCTCTTACTTTACAAGCGCGCCCCGCCCAGATTGACGGTAAGCGCATTTGTGTGGCCTACAGGAAGGATGGCCGCTGCCGCTTTGGAAGCCGCTGCAAGTTCGCACATGACAGCGATCTGCAGAGTAACCGTGCGGTCACCTCTGACAGTGGACCAAAAGACAATGTTACAGTTTCACACGATGGTCCGCTGGCTTCTTGTGAGGAAGACGCAGAGACAGATGGAGAGAAAGACAATGAACAGCGAAAGAAGAGACGAGTGGGGCTGAATGATTCTCTCATTCCACCAAAACGTGCACTCAAGCAGTATGCCAGACTCTCACAACCATAAAAGTTCAAAACTTTCTGTCTGTATGACATAATTTGGGTAACAACTTACTTTTATGTGAAAAACATCCACGACGACGTGTTATATGTATTAAATTAATATGCTACTGATGAGATTGTGATAATTAGTCTGTAAAATGTGTTACAGATTTTCTCCAGAGGTTTTTGTTTTGTAGACAAAGGCGATGTGATCAATACTAGCAGAGAGACTTGTAAAAATTCTTCTAACAAATGTAAGCAATAGATGTCATTATTAAAATGGCATTTATCTGGGTCTTATTTGGCTTCCAAAAGCCTCCCTTTTTAATCCTACATTAGTCTAAGGTTTTGAAACAATAAATGTAAGTATGTATACATATTGTGTATTTGATGACTCTAAAAATATATATATGGCCAATGTTTTTTCAAATTTAAGTGTCCCTTTTTTGATATCATGGTTCATTTCTCCTGGGCTTGCACTATATATTGGTGTTGTATCTGTTACTGGTGATATTAGAGGCTTCTTTTCATAAAATTGGTAGCTAGAAGTTTAAATTTGATATACACAAGTTCAAAAGTTTGGAGGCAGTTAAGATTTGTTTGAAAGAAATGAGTACATTTATTAAGCAAAGATGCATTAAATGCATGCAGTGACAGAAAATACTTTTATAAGTAATGTAACAAAAGTATATTTCAAGTAAATGCTGTTATTTTAAACTTTATATTCATCAAAGAATTAATAATAAATGTTTCTTCAGCACCAAATCAGCATATTAGAATTATTTCTAAAGGATAATGTTACACAGAAGAGAAATGGCTGCTGAAAATTCAGCTTTGCCATCTCAGGAATTAATTTAAAATGTATTAAAATAGATTTAATTGTACCAGTATTTAACAATATTAGTGTTAACTGCAATTTAGAAAAAAAAAAAAAAACTTTAAAAATACTACACCAAACGTTTAAACAGTAGTGTATATCAGCCAATTTGATATTTTTCCGCCTTTTTTGCATTTATATTACTTTTGCCATCATCAAATGCAGTTAAAGTTTAAAAACACTAATAATTTAATAACAAGATCTGTTGTAGTGATGCATATATTCACTTGAAACATTTAAAACAGCGGATTTGTTTTTAGTGTTTTATTTTAAATGTATTTAGACAAAATCGGATGGAATTTTAATATTGACCATAACATGAAAATTATCAGCTTATCTGTAATACGGGTGCATCCCTAATTTCTACAGTACCTATTCAAGCCACATGATGGCATAAGTTTGCTTATACACAATGGCTTTACTCACACAGACTAATGTGAATTAAGGTCTGTGGAAGCCTCTACAGCCACAAAACAACACACTCACACACAAAACAGATGTGGTTGTTGGAGGGGACTATAACGGTTTATAAACAAAATTAACAATGACAATAACTCAAAACACAGTCTCCCTGGTACAGACATTTTTACAAAGCTACCAAAAGTTAATGTGATTACATACAATATAGTTATGACTATATATTTAACTTCAGGGTGTTTAGGAGCGCGACAAATAACAGTCATCTCAATCTTCCATGTTACACCATTACAACATCCTTCCTTCACTACAGCAGAACATGCTGTATTTGGCCGTCTGAACTGTCAGTCATGTTTGGCTCCTCCCCCTCTCTGCCCACCTCCCAAACCCCACCCCCACTTCCGTTCTCATTAGTCCCGTCTCCCTGCCAGACCACCTGTCTCTTCTCTGAAGGAGTAGTGGAAGACTGGGGAGATGTAGATGATGAGGAGGCAGGATCGCCCCCGAATCCCAAAACGCTCCGGGGGTCAGTGGACGCCTCGGGCAGGGTTTGGGAGAGAAGGGGAGTATTGGGAGCCGGGTTGTGGCTTGGGGGCCTACAGAGGGTCTGGTTTTGATGTGGCTGGGTGGTCTGAAGAGGCAGCTGCTGTGCGACAGAAACCAGTGGGAGCTGCTGTTGAGGAAGAGCTCTGAAGGCCATGTGGACAATCTGGGATTGAGGGCTGTAGGACTGAACGGGCAGCTGCTGGACCAAAGCGGCCTGCTGGGTGTCGCTGGTTGTGGAGGGCTGAATGGGTAGCTGCTGGATTTGGTGTTGCTGCGTCGAGACGAACTGTAGTGGCATCTGCAGAGAGTGAGCGGAGGTCTGCTGTGAAGGAGCACTGTTTTCCTCTTCTGTCGAGGACAAGGCCAGGGTCACCGGTACCTGCATGCTGTGTAGCGGGTGATCCTGATCCACAACCATCACTGGACCCACCTGACCCGCTGGTATCACAGAGCTCCCCTGGGCCTCAGGGACCACCTGCTCTGTCTGCATGGAGCCTGTGGAGGTGTCCAGCAGCAAGGTGACTCCGGTAGGAGTGGTGATGAGGGATCCGGCATTGGCGGCCAGGGCTTCGGCAATGAGCACCTCGGGGTGGCTCTTGGCTTTGTGAGCCACCACACTGTCCTTCTTTTCGAACTTCTTGCCGCAGATGCTGCAGGAGAACTGGTACGTGGCATCTGCATCATGCTTCTTCATGTGCCAGTTAAGGGAGGCCTTCTGACGGCAAGTGAAACCACAGATTTCACACCTAGAGAGGAAATGAGATGCTTGATATTTACTGTCATTTCTTTTTTATAGATCCGCGAAATGACTACAGTGGAGATCTTGCATTTTATTTGACTATTATACAATGTCAAATTGGAAGTGTGCCATTTTTTGTGTTAAAGTATTGAAAATGTAACATGACAACTAAAACAGTCTCCCTGGTACTGACATTTCCACAAAGCAACCAAAAGTTAAAGCAATTACATACAATATTTATACATTTCACTTCAGGGCGTGTAGGAGCTTCCATGTTTCACCTTCAACATCCTTCCTTCTCTACATCAGAACAAGCTGGATCCGTTATGTTTTGCTCCTCCATGTTTGCTTCTTAATAATGACTTAATTTTGTATGTAATAATTTATAAATGATATATATTTGTTAATGAGGGCTGGAAGTGAAGAACACGTAAAAAAAAAAAAATCTTTCATGTATTTCATGAGACTTCAGCTTGTTATTCATATTAAGTGGCACTGGGGTTCCTGGTGGTTTAATTCGTGGTTTAACAGCAATTTACAAATTATTTTATACAAAATCAATAGCAGTTATTAAGAGTGATATTGTTTGGCATTTATAAAATATGCTTAGGAAAAAATATGATCAAAATACCAACTGTTCTAATAATTATGCATGCATTCTAGGGATGCATGATTGGAGGATAAAAGCTAATTGGGATTTTATGAAAAAAAACAAAAAACATTGCGTTTAAATGCAATTTTTTTTTAAAGAGCTTCAGGTTTGCTTTGCTTTTTTGTAGGGCTGGACAATTTGACCCAAAACACTGTGATTATCTATCAATATATTTGTAAAATAATATTATTAAATAAAAATATTAAACATTATCATAGTAATACGGTTTCGTATTATACTATTTAATAGTAATACTATTTCATTGTTTAAAAAAAAAGCACTTAAGAAAAATAATGGTTTTATATATTCTAATGACAGTACTAATATTCATGTCTTAATTTTGTCATTTTTAAAAGTTAAACCATCAAGCTTTTATTTTGCCAAATACTGTGAAAATGGTGAAATTATGCGGCTTTTAATCCAAATCAATGTTTAAAGGGTTAGTTCACCCAAAAATTTAAATTCTGTCATTAATTACTCACCCTCATGTTGTTCCAAACCCGTAAGACCTTCGTTCATCTTCGGAACACAAATTAAGATATTTTTGATCAAATCTGAGAGCTCTCTGACCCTCCGTAGACAGCAATGCAACTGTAATGTTCCCAGGTCCAGAAATGTAGCAAGGACATCGATAAAACAGGCCATGTGGTTCAACCGTAATTTTACAAAGCTACAAGAATACTTTTTGTGCACAAAGAAAACAATAAAATCATAATTTATTCAACAATTCTTCTCCCCGAGTTACCGTCTTCCACCATTTTGGAGAGTACCCCAGAACGTAATCCGCGTTGTTTACGTTCAGTAGACAGCGCGCGCATGCTGAACGTAAACAACGCTCATTACATCTATTTTACCGATGTCCCTGCTACGTTTCTGGACCTGGGAACATTACAGTTGCATTGCTGTCTACGGAGGGTCAGAGAGCTCTCAGATTTGATCAGAAATAACTTAATTTGTGTTCCGAAGATAAAAGAAGGTCGATGTGAGGGTGAGTAATTAATGACAGAATTTACATATTTGGGTGAACTAACCCTTTAATACCACACACGTCAGAATTTTCATTTTTGGGTGAACTATCCCTTTAATATAATTTTGTATTTGTTAAGTAGCCATGTAATAAGCAGGATAATTAACAGTCAGCTGGTCATGATCACAAAATTAATCCCTTCAGAAGATACAAAACCTGATTTCCTGTTAGTGTTTGTTTTACAAAAATGATCAAGCGCCTGTACTTAGTCTTCTCAGCTGGATAAGTAAAAGTATGCTGTGTAGTGTGTAAGCAGCAGAGATTCAACTTACTGCAGTGGCTTCTCTCCGGTGTGTATCATTCGATGCACAGCCAGGTTGTGAGAGCTCTTGAAGGCGCGAGCACAGAACTCACAGATATAGTCTCTCTGATCTGAAACAGACTGTACTTTAAAAAAGCCACCCAACCAAAGACACTTCACGATAAGTATTTCAAGCTTACACTGAATGTGCTTATCTTACCGGTGTGGTGCTTGGCATGCCGCAGTAGTTGTTTCTGCAGCCGGAAGAGTCGTCCGCATGAGGGATGAGGACAGACGTACTTCTTCTTCATCAGGTGTTGGTATTTAATGTGATGCTGCAGGAGAGAAAGACAACAGAAAGGCTTCAGGTCTAAACTGTGTGTCAGGTGTCAGTCAGTGAGGGAAACACTAGTTTGCATTTGTACCTGCAAGTAACGCGGATGGGCCAGCACTGTACCGCATCCTTCCATTTCACAACGCACATACTGCACCGGCGGCTTTTTCCTGAGTACAAGAACAAATGATCACCATTTAAAATAGGAATATATATATATATATGTAAAGGAATCTTCCAGTTACAAATTAAATTGTGGCATGCTGTCACTTATTACAAAAAATAATTTCAACACATCTGTAAAAAGAGTCATTTGATTGTACCAAACTTGAATAAGAATAAAATATATCATGTTATATTATATATATCATACACTGTTATATATTATAGCCATAATCAGGATTGCAACACTTCTTGAACGATGAATTTTAATTTTCCATGATTTTTTCATTGGTTTGTGAGAACTACAATTTTTTTTGCACTAAACACGGCATTTTTTTAGACCAAAAAAAAAAAAATTATAAAAAGTAATGACTATAGAAATTTCAATGAATTTTCCATGACCTATTATAAATTTCAGTGAGTTTTTTTTAATGATCCCAAGAATTCAGACTTTATTTACAAAAGCTTTGTAAACACTTTCCAGCCAGCAGATACTAC